TCTCCTTCCTTCCCTCTTTCCTTCCCTCGCTCCTGTCTCTCCATCAATCCACGTCCCCTACACTTCCCCTCCCACTTTCCCCTCCATCTCCATCACCATCTCCATCCCTTTTCTCTCTCTCTCCCCTTTCTATCCATCCATTTTACTCCCTCCCCTCTTAATCTCCACCTCTCCCTCTTTATATTTCCCCTCCCCTTTCTTTTTTCTTCTTCCTCTCTGGCCTGCTCTGCTCTCTCCGTCTCTCTGAGTGTGTGTGTGTGTGTGTGTGTGATGCTTCAGTGCCCTCTGTATTGTGGCTGCATTGTGCCAGTAGGCGTCGCCGCGACAGCCGTTGTCACGGCAGCATTGTGATGGGGGGTGGTGGGGTGTCTGTGTGGGGGGTGGGGTGGGGACGGGTGTATTACAGTATCAATACCCTGACACTGCGACAAAAAGGACAGCAGCCGTAGCCACATATCACTCCACCTCTGCACTCCTACTCCTCCTCCTCCGTCGTCTCCTTCCTCCCTCCTTCCATCCCTCCCTGCGACCCCCCACTCCCCCCCCCCAATCAATTCCCCCTCCCCTCCTTTCAATTGATTTCCCACCATATCTCACTGAATATGTAGGTATTGATCCCCTCCTCCCTAGCCTCATCCCTCGCTCCTTTCTTTCTCTCCTCTTGTTTTACTCAAACATCTATCAGATTTCATCCCCTCTATCTAAGCCCCTCCACCCTTATCTCACTCCATCTCTCTCTCCCTCTTTCTCTCTCTCTAACACACACACACACACACTTTCCTCATCTTTCATTTCATCTCCCCAATTCTTTCCCTCTCTCTGTGCCATCTCTTCTGCCCCCCCTCACTCCTCCCTCCATCACACCTCCCTCCCCGTCTCCCTCCCTCTCGGCTGTTTTTTTTTGTTGTTGTTTTGTTTTTTTGGGTTTTGTGTGTATGTGTGTGTGTCTGTCTCACTCACTCTCTGAATATTAATTGGTGCATTTCTGCTGCGGCGGAGAAAACAATCAAAGCGTCAGGGGCGGGTGATGATGCCATTGTGGCAGCAGCAAACACGTACACATATGTACCGTGAGTATACACACAAACACAAACAAGAGTGCGAAGGGGAAACACACAAACAAGACAGACAGACACACACACACACACACACATACACATTACAGTTACACATCAGCAGACAGAGAACACATAAATATGGGCACTTGTATACACATATATGCTGCTGACATGCAAAATGTGCTCACCCACACACACACTCATACACACACATTGATTTACTATGTACACACACTGAGACAAGCATGCACTGCACATATGCCACAGACTTAGTCAGTCACTCTCAGATAGCTACACAATAGCTGGCTTACAATGGCTGATCCAGGAGATGTTCTGCGTCAGCAAAGACATTTGAATTTCCCAAGCAACATTTTCCTTCACACAGTACTTGAGCACATCTCATTTAAAGCAACATTATGTAAGAATAGGTATTTTTTGCAACTTGGAACCCCTACAGTTTTGGAGAGCATGGGGGGGGCCTTACACTGCTAGCACAGGAGCTAGCAGTGTAAGGACCAACACCCCCCGGTGCTCAGCTGCACGGCTAACTCTGAGCTAACTAGCTATTGGCAGCTACAGTTAGCAGCAGTTAGCGGTTATTTTAGGAACCAGTAAAACAATATGTCGATCAAGAAAGTAATAACAAAAATTACACCAAAATCAAGTGGTGTTTCTGTACAGTGCTCAGTGACGCCCGGCCTTCAGAAACACTCCACTCCAGCATTTATTGTTTCTCCAACCTTCTTCTCGTCTCATTTGTCACTATTGTCCAAGCAGCTCATGGAGCGAAAGACCCATAGCTAGTTAGGCACATAGTGCCAGAACAGGCATTACAAGGTATTGTACCATAAAAATTATTTTGCAATCCGTTCTCACTCCAAAGTTGCCACATATGGATGGTCTAGACCCCTTGGCGTCCGTTTGTAATGTACTTATAAGCACTGGGGAAAGCGTCACTTATGAACGCTAAAAGCTGATGTAGGATATAAATAACAGAAAAGTCAGAGTGAAGAGGTGGTTGAAGTGGATGGTGAAGTGGATTGAGACATTTCTCAATGTTAACCACTAGTTTTATTTTGAAATTCTAAGAAGATGTTGTATATTTATTATTGCCAACTTAACAGCGGAGCCTTACACCTAAAAAATGACACAAAGGAGGTACCCAGGGTCTTGACCATATGTGATGAGTTTGGAGAAAGAATGTGTTGAATTTTGAAGCAGTTACTTTAAGGTAAAATTATTGCATAATGTTATTTTAAATGTTAAAAATAATTAAATCAAAGCATTTAAAAGTAAGAGAAGTGAACATTTCTGTAATTATTACTGAACAGGCTATTCAACTGGCTTTTTGTTGTTCAGTCTGTTCTGTATCTCACTCTGTAACTCTCTTTGATAAAGGCTGAGAGGTGGTGGAAGAGGCGTGTGGGCTTCATCACTCCACTCGCATCCTGGCCCACGTACTGTAGATTTGACTCTCTGCTTTTCGTTGTTGTCGTTTGCCCTTATACAGTATAATACTCATGCAGGCCACTTACACGGAAAATGGAATGCAAGAACGAGTCGGCGGAAAAACAAAGTCTGTGTTGAATTCTGCACTTGAGACTTTAAAATGCTGAAGTAGATGGAGCAGATAAAGCCCAAGGTCTAATGAAAATATTTGAGTTAAATCAAGAGCCAACTTGTTGAAAGACCTTTTTTATAACAACAAATGATAACAGGATTCAAATTCCAATGCAAGTTAATATGACTATGTGTCCCAAATCTAGATCAGTCATATCAAGAACGTGGATATGCACTCAACCAGATTAAAACTGAATCTGATAGAAAGTTGGTGGGTAAGGCTCTTATTGTCTGTTCATTTGTCTGTAGCTGTTTGACCTCCCCTGTGTAGAATGATGTAGGCCTATGTGCAGAGTTTGACTTTTCACATTCATCTGCTGAAGAAGAAAGGTTTCTCTGTGCTCATCCAAAATCTGAATTTAAAACCAGTTTGTCCACTAGCAGGCCAAGCATGGTCCAGTGTGAAACTTACACAAATGTGATGTGGAAACTTGAAACCGGCAGCAGACAAACTTTTGCACATTTACTGTTTGGTTCAACAAGTCCTCATACCTGAACAACAAACTAGCTCCCCAAAACGAGATACTGTATGATGGTTTGGAAGTAGGCTACCAGTCAACTGACAGACATATCGGACCTTAAGTACTTGATGTAAGTCACATAAGTCGTATGATGTTAAACATGTGGTTAATGTGTAACGGTAAAGGTATATCAGGTTGGTTAGGAAAAGATTGTAGTTTGGGTGAAAAAAGTGAGTTGGGTAAGTCACATGACTTTGAGTGAGTAACTCCTTTTAAGCAGAAACTGTAAATAAGTCAAAGGTGACTTGGTTTCACATCTTGGTCTCCTGAGTGAAAGTCTTGAGTTTGTTTGACCCATCCGTCCCCCCCAACCACATCCTTACATGGACACTTTTTAAACTGTCACCTGACTTCCTCATGTGCTCCCATTATACACCCACCAGACGTCACGGCCTAATAATAAACATAATTAAAATGGGTAATTAAAAGCTGATGCACAATCAAACTATACAGTTGTATTTCTGATGAGGATGGGCAGGTTTGCGTCATGTTTCCAGCAGCAGCAGACAGACCTTTTCAGCAAAAAGAAAAAGCTCTGATAAGCCCACCGTACACTACCTGCCCAGAACCAAAAGGCAGACAGACGAATTAGCAACCAGCTGGTAAAGAAAGTCAAAACAGCTGAAGACTGAGATAGTTTTCTTATAAGCTGGCCAACTACAGAGCTAAAATAAGAGTTGTATTGGACTCAAATTCATCAGGTGGTCAGAGACATCATTTGCAAAAGGATGTTGCTCCATGTGTGTGTGCTGGATTTGTGAATATGCAAATAGTTAGCCATAACTTTTTAAGTAGATGGCGTCTGTCAGTTTGTTTTGGATTTATTCTACTTTCAACTGGCCAAAACTCTATAAATATAGCTGTGTATAAATGTTCATGTTTAAGCACAGGGAGGCGCACCAAACCACACCCCATTAATAAGAGGACACATAAGATGACACAGTGGATATTTTATGCAAATTGTGTTGATGTGGGTACATGGGTTGGAGGGGATGTGCACCTGCGGCAATTAAACCATTGTCAACTGAAAAAAGCTGCCGTGTACAAAAGAGCGTGAGAAGCCATTATTTACATAGAACACAATATAACTACTATATTACTATGTTGTATAACTATTAATACTTTGCCTGGGCTGTCTATTTTCATGAAGTCAAATTTTGACTGCATGCATGCTTTTATTTTGTAAGGAGTATTTTTCCCAAAGCATACTGTACTTTTACTCTGCCTTTCCCACTGTTGCTATTTTTGCTGGTGGGGGACCCCCTGGAAACCTCCTCAGGGACTCCTGGTGGTCCCCGGACCTTATGTTGGGCACCCCTACATCCAAATATGTGCACTTAGTATCTTCCCATCCTGTAAGTGGCCATGTGCTTCCGGGGTGGCTCACCACAACATTTAGACTGCCCCTCGTTCATATCATCACTTTTAAAACACACTTCAATTGGTGTGAAACTTTTTCCCCCCTTCTTCTTTTTCTTCTTCTTCTTCTTCTCCTTCCTCCACCAAAAAAAAACGTCCCTCCAAACTGTCAGCTACCCGCCACCCCAGATGCCATATTTAGGATACAAATGTGAAGAGATGACAGCGTTGTAAAATGGTGCCCGTGCTGAGATTATAATTAACATTTCCAACCTACATCACTCTCCCTCCCACTTCTCCTCTGCTTCTCCCTATTCACCCACTCCTGTACAATAAATGGGAAAAAACGCTAGAAGAAAGCAGAGAAAGGGAGAAGGAAAAGAAAGGGAGATGGAGGAGGACAAGGAGGAGGAGAGAGTGAGAGAGAGAGAGAGAGAGAGAGAGAGAAAGGGAGAGAAGAGGGTGACCAAACGGAGGGAGGAGGGAGGGGGAAACGGCGTATGCTTGTATACAACCCTGATTTCCATTTTTTTCCCAACTCGTAATGTATTTAATTCAAGTGAAACGTAATCATGACGTGTCGTGTCATTAATCTCCTCGCCGCCTCTCCCGTAAGTACACTGAGTCTTTACTTTCAACATATACCCTATATCTTCATTTATCTAGTTTAATTTTGATCCACCACTATGTTTACATATACACTTTTATGCATGGTGGCGTGAAACACAGGTGATGAAACATCCAAAATTGTTTCATTTATTGCGACTGTTGTTGCCTTTTTTCCTCCACGAGCACCACACGGGATAATAGCCAATATAGTTGTTGTTGTGTGTTATTTGTCAGGCTACTCCGCTTTTTATTTGCAGTTTGGATTGTGTGCGTGTGTGTGCGTATGCGCGCGCGTGTGCTTGCTTGCGAGTGATCGGCATGAAGCATGTATGTATGGATATGTATGTAGGTTATGTAGGGTCTGTAACCGCGCGCTCCGGACCACTTTACGTGTGTGTCATGTATGTAAGCCGGTGTATGTGCGCGCGTGGCCGACATGCATGTAGCCTCCGATCCCTCCTATAGCCCGTGACATGACAAAAAAACCCCGGAGAAATGCACTGTTTCCCCACATAATTCAGAAAACACTCGGCGTAACGTTTTAAATAAGCCGATTCGGCAAGTCAACTCGAAATTAAACGCGACTTTAAAATGGTCGCAAGTGCACGAAAAGTCACTCGGGAGTGGTTAAAGATGTATTTTTTTAAATTCGCGTAACTTTAACCAAGTTGTGTTAGCTAGCAGTTATTTCTACCCACGCGAGAAAACCAGTTTTGAAACGAGGCAGCGCTATGACCTCTTCTCCTTTATCCCTTTTTAACCTCTCCGAAAAACGACGTTTGACCAAAAAAGTAGCTTTTACAAAAAGAGGCACAAGTTCTCGGTGCGTAACGGAGGATTTCGATAAGCCGCAGACATATTGTCAAGGCGTAAAAGTGGATTTTTGCATGTTAGCAAGTTGATATACAAAGCGCAATTTGTGGGTAGATGCGATTAGCTTGACTAATTCTTTTGTTGGACACACATTAGGCATTGTGTAGTGCATTGTTTTCGAGATAAGCACTGCCACTTTCATCTGGGATGTGCGCAAAAACGCATCCAGAGTGTAATAGTGTTTTATAAAGGGTATACTTTCACCACCTTTTACTACGATGTTTACTACAAACGGTTTAGTTGTCCTAACATCACCTCCAGTGTCTTAACTACAAGCTCAGAAAGTAGCATAGCAAGTGTGGCATGCAACGCTGTAGCCGTGTGTGAGAGCAAAACGCGTGTTGCCAAATTGTAGCCTATTCTGTACAGAGAAGTTACCGGTTTTTCATCTGCGGTTGAAAAATGTGCGTTTTTGGACACGATGTCGCTTTTTTGGGGACTGATGTCGGTTTTGGGAGATTGGCAGAGGATTCAAGATGAAATCCATGATGGCACTTTTTTTCCTCCCGTCCTCTGCCTGCTCGCTCACTCGTCTTTTCCCCTCCCTTAATCTTTTGTATAGAAAATTTAAGAACAAAATGGAGCAGGGGAGAGAGCGATAGATAGGCTGACATGACACACACACGCCACCCCCGACTTCTAAAAACTACGTCCCACTGTTTATGATTTTTAATCGCATTTTTTGGAAGCGGGATTGTGCGCGGACACCATCTGCGGGCAGGGTTAATCTCGTTTTAGTGGGGGTGTTTATTAGTGCATTGTTTGTTGATGGTTATTTATTTCATTAATGTGCCTCTAATTGAGATGGCCGCGAGAGAGAAGAGGGGAAAGAGCGACTGAAAATGGTTGCACGTTATTGACGCACATCATAGGGGCGAGGAGGAAATTCCTCATGAGATAAGGCGCAGACGTGTCATCTGGGTTGACCAAAGACACTCCTGTCGGCTTTTCCATATCCAATGGAATATGTTTAGAGATCCTGAAATGCCCTATTTTTTTATCCACCCAAAATGTCACACTTTTGAGAGCATGTGCACAGTGGAAGTAGGTTGACATTGCTGGCTTGTCCTATAAATAGGGGGGTTATGGAGCATCCTTAAACTCTACTTCATCTTATAATTTGGGGATTTTTATATTCTCTAAATCAAATAAACCTTAACTACACATCCTCTTAACAAATCCTCTTTTAGATGAAAGCATATATTGCCTTAAAAAAAAGAGTAAATCCTGAAAACTGTATACATTCTTGTTGCCCAATTGAGTGACTTTTTGTTATTAGTGATGTTAACAGGCTACTAAAATCTTATCACCGTCCAGCCTTTGCCAGAAACTAACGAGACATATCCACATAGTATTAAAACATAAAAAGAACCATATCTCTGTTGGAAAACTATCCCCCAACACCCCTACAGGTTGTCTACCTTTTGATACAAGATGAGGATTTCACACTGCAAGTACTCCCCAGGAACCTACTGTACTAATGAACATGAGACACTGGTCCTGTGTTAAAAGAGCGTCTAATGGTTTTGCTTCATTCAGACCCTTCTCTGCCTGTTGTGCTGAAGTAGTATCCTCCTCCTCCTCCTCTGCCACTATCAAAGCCGCCTCCTCCCCATCTTTGTACATACTGTACTGTACTTGTGGGGGCACATACACCCCATCCAGGTGGCTCTTGGGGAAGATATTGTATGTGACAGAGAAAGAGACAGAGAGAGAGAGAGAGTAAAAGGGAGAGGAGTGTAGCACCAATCAAGGCTTCTGATTGATATAATTGGGTCATTAGTGCGCTGCGGGAGAGGCACCTGCTTGCCCTCAGTTAGGGAGAATCTACTGCATTGTGACATTTTGAGACTGTTGAGAGTTCTGCTGGCTGCTCGGGATTAGTGTGTATTTAGAGCATTAGGGTCTTACTTAAATAGTACGCCACTTGTGCCACTTGTACTGAGTTCACTGGTTTCAAACTGATTTTCACCATAGAGGTGGACAGGTAGGTTCACTTTTCCTCTCCGTCCTGTGTGTTTGTGTGTGTGTGTGTGTTTTGACTGACGAAAATCATAATTTTGGTAGCAAAGCAATCTAACTGGTCACAGCAGTGAGATCATAGCACCGGCAGGAAGAGCCTGGTGTGATTTAAAACAGCAGGTCAAGCAAAAGATAGAGCCACAGTGGTCCGATCATCAAGAGATGGTGAGCAGAAGAAGACTAAAGGTTAAAGATATTAAGGCATCAATGTCCTCCAATCACAGAGCTTGTTGGGTGGTTGGAGCAGGGTCTGAAACCCACACCTTTACTCTGTTGCTACATTCGACAATTTCTGTGACTTTCTGAAACTGACAATCTGATAAGTGTGCCCACTTCACGTAGCCGTTGGCCAGATCTGTGGAGGTGAGAAGTAAGGTAGTTTTGAACTTCCCTCAGGCTCTTTTTTTTCATTCTTTACATAACTGCTTTTGACACTTTTCATGTGTACAGCACTACAAATGCCTTCTAGGAAAGCCTGTCCAAAAGTGTGCACTAATATCCCCGTATTTAAAGAATCACTGCATCTCGCCCCTGTACATGACGGACGGCTTTTCAACCCATGATATAGAACAACTATGAACACTTTTGCGATCCAACATGGTCAGACACCGCAAACTAGCTCGATATGATTATACTCTCACCTTTAGGTTCAAATCCCTTGACAGAAGTTACTTTCCAGCCTCATATATAGGTACTGTCAAGGTGCCCTTGTGCAAGGTGCATCACCCCGAATTACATGAAGAGGTGTCGATTTAAGTATTGACATGTAAAAGTGTAATTCAGAGTGCATGAAGCAAGGTGTTTGCTTAGCAAATTTCCCCAGGGTAAATAAAGTATCAACCTATGTTAACAGTTTTTATTTTCTTTCTATAGGGGCTCCAATGTCTGATTTAAGTGATATTCATATTCCACAAGGAGGTCACAGTGTAGGGTCAGCATCCCTGGCGATTGTGGGTAGTCTGCATTTTGCTCAAGGGAGGAGGGGGTGGTTGTTGCTGAAGAAAGGGTTTGAAATTAGGTTTGATCCAAGTTGGATCGGAATGTTCATAATTTGATTGACAGGTTTCAGTGCACATTTAGACTTTTTATTAGAAGATAAAGAATCATGTAGGCATTTGTTTCACCTGTGGGATGCATGATTGCCACATCCCTTCGCTTCTTTTCTCTCAGCCCTTGCAGGTGATCATCAATGTGCACAGAAAAGCCTTTTAGGAAGAACACATCCAGTGATTTGCTTATGACATTTGCATGCTCATAACCCATTCTTCTTTTAGAGGCCTCAGTCTTTTAATGCCGAATCAGACGAGTCAGTCAGCGCTTCCACTCATTGGTTTAGACGCAGCACGGCCTGTATGACTTGGAGCGAGAGCCTCGTTTTCTGCCGAGATGCTGTGATGTTTCCACTGCTCAGATTCACTCGCTCAGATCTGGCACCGCCGCGTCGCTCCCACTTTCGGCGCTCCGCAAGTGTCGGCTCGTGTTCTCTGCTGGAGGAGGAATTCATTCAGCAAGAGCAGGAGCAACAGCTTGAGAGGAGATGGAGAGTGGAGAGAGAGAGAGGAGAAGAATTTAAGTGGCAAGGTTAGGAAGAACAGGAGCAAGTGAAAGTGGCACATAAAAGGGTTTTCTTTCACTTTTTCACTAAATGTTGCTGGTGGCCTTCCAGGAGCTATCAAAAGATAGATCAGATTGAGAGTCTAGGGGTGAAATGTATAATTTTTGCGTCATTGGTTTTAACTGTTTCTTCATCTGGCTCACAAAATATCTATCAAAAAGGTCAGCCTCATGTCAGTTTATTGCCCGAACGCTTTTCCTCCAACGGCACCATGAAAGCCTGTAGTTTTGTTTTTGAGGGAGGTGTAAGCCTTTTGATGGCACTTTTTGCTTCCATTCTTAAACCAAAATGACACACGAAAGTTAGTATTTTCTGTTCAAGGAATCCGCTACTCTCATTTTTACAGTGGTGGAGGCACGGTGGACTTTTGTGCTTATCACTATCAGCTGAAGATGAGGGGAAGGGAGAGCGCGAGCCAGACAAAGTTGGAGCGAAACAAGGAGTGAAGCAGGGGGTTCAGGGAAAGGTGAAGTAAAGGAAATGAATACTGTCTGTGGGTAAGTTCGCCACGTGACCATGCGATAAAAACCACAGGGCTAAATAATACTGTACCGCGCAGAGAGCGGACCCCCCCCCCCCCCCCCCCATCCTCTCTTTCATACACATTTTTTGCGGTCAGTCTCTCATACACCCACTTATGCCCAAAGGACACCTCACCTCGCGCACACTTCATCACATGGGAGTTCAAGTAATAGAGCTGGAAGAAAGATATACACTTGTGAGGATTCACTGAAGTACACACAAAGACATACACAGCCCACAGACACACATTTTACTTTAAGCCCTAAGGTCCAAGCCTGAGACCTTGGAGATGTCTGCCTATTTTTAGGTACATGAAGGAGGATGTGTGCAACACACACACACATACAGGCACAGACAAAAACATATAGGTAGCACATGCTTTTCACTCTTCAGTGTCCCGATAGGCCAGGGGTTCCCAACCTAGAAGAAATTCAACAGGTCGTGAGATGACTGAGGAGCATGCAAGGAGTAAGAAACATATTTATGCCACTGAAATTGATGCTTATTTTTTACATCTCTTCTCAAAAAGTTTTTCTTTTGAAACTGCAGGCAACTCCATAATGTCCAGCCCATAACACACATTTAGACTCATATCATTAACATAAAGCTGAGCAGATATAGCACTTCCTGCCCACACACACACACGCACTATTGCAAACACAAAGTGAATAACTTTCACACCATCACATTTACAATTATGGTGTGTAGCGTGCTGGCATGTACCAACCTGAACTAACTGCCTTCACAGTAAAACTGTACCACTCAGTGGATATTTAAACAATGACATCAACCCCCCCCAAAAATAAACTTGTCTGAACATATTGTGCTCCTACTCCCTTGGCAACTATTTATCATGGATGTGATGTATGACTCAGCAACCCCCCCTTCCGCTACACACACCTTGTGACATAAGCACTGGGTAGCTATTTTTGGGTGACTAAAAAACGAAAGTTGGCATTTTGACCTCTAGACCTTTAAACTAATTTCCAATCAAGGTAATTCCATACTTCAAGTCAGCTATCTCAGTGCCTGCAAAGTTACACTGCAATTACTGTAATGGCAACATCATGGCAATACTTAACACAACAACGATATGCTTTAAGCTGTCATTACTGTGTGAATTGCAGTGCTGGTACACTGCTGCATGTTCACTGCAAATTTCAGTGTCAGCGTAAATGCAAGGGGGAAAAAGCACTGAAAGAGCAGGGAAATCCAGTTTAATAAATGTTTTTTTTCTCCATCTCACGTTAAGACAGACTATATGATTTAGATGGATCACATTTGCACCTGACATTAAAAATGCATTTCCTTTATGTGTCTTTTTAAAATCAGATCTGTCCTTCTCTATGCTACCACATGCGGGCCACTTACTCATACAGTATTCGCATCCTTCAAAACTGATAGTTAACACCTTGTTGAGCACCCGTATGATCCATTTGTGTGCAATTTCGGTGTGCAATTACATAAGAAAGTACCTAAATTTGCAGATTGGGAAGGAATTGCATTTGTTGATAATGTGTATAGACATGACAGAGGTGGTTTAGGTGGCTGGTTCTTCACTTCTTTTCTTGGTTCATTTACACCCGCTTTTTATGTGCTGCACCACCTAATTTCAATCTGATTTCTGTCCCTCAGTCGCCCCAACCCCCTTCCCTGCATCCTTTGCTGCACCCTATCTCCTTCTCTCTATCTATCCAAATTGTCTTTATTGGCATGACAGGGCCTGTGGTTGGCGACAGCCACCGTCACGGTAGAACAATGCATTGTGATGGTGATATTCATATGATAATGCCATCAGACATAACACTGCTGCAGATACATTTAGATAGCCAGTTTTCCCCCCTTTCTGTATCTCTCTCTGTTTGTCTGGATGCATATGTCTGTGTGTTGACTTTTCAAATTATTTTTAAATCTGTTGTTCTCTCTTCATGTAATGCCCCAGCCTGCCACTCCACCACTCTGATTTCTCTCCTATTCTCTGTTCCAACACGTCTGTCTCTTTACCCTATTTTTCTTTTCCCCTTCAACACCGTGCTGGCAATCACATTAAATCATTTTCATTCACATGGCTTCTGACAATGTTTTTTTTATGCTGCCCAGTTTGTAACTGCACTGTATGTTTCTCTCTCTCTTTCTTTCCCTCTGTCTGCCTCCTTTCTCATTTTTGCTTTTCGCCATGTTGGCAGGGCCCAATCTACCAGCTGATATCAGCATTCCCTGGCACTCTGCCAACTGGCAACACTGCAGGAGAGAAAGAAAGAGAGAGGGAGAGAATGAAAGAAAATTAGTGAATAATAGACGGAGGGAGGGAGCGAGAGAATGAGAGGGGGATGGGAGGAGTATGAATCAGGGAAAGAAAGAGAGACAGAAGGGAAAGGAAGACGGAGGGAAAGAACAATAATGGTGGATTAAGAAAGGACTCTGTGTGTGTGTGTGTGTGTGTGTGTGTGTGTGTGTGTGTGTGTGTGTGTGTCTGTCGTTGTGTGACTGTGTGTGTTTATGTGATTGATATGGTGTGATATCCCTGTGAGTCATAGCTGAGCTAAAATGTCAACTGGCTACATGAGAATCTCTTTGTCATCCACGCTCAGTGATACACACACATACATACACACACAAACGCATACACAAATCCAACAGATCATATAAACACATATGTGACCATACCGCCGCATGAACACAAATATGGGTGACACACCTGCGAACACAGATGTTCCATTGTTTTGCCACAATGATTGATGACCTTTTGTTTTGTTGTGGGCGCCTCTGCTTCTTCTCAACTCCACCAAATGATGGACAAAAACAGCCGATGTGCATAAATCCAGTCTAACTTATGCAAACTGCTGTGCCCTAAGAATATTTAGGTGTGTGAGCATGCTTGCCAAATTGCTTGTGTGTTCAATATGCCGTATATCACCCTTTACATTTTAGCTGACTTTGTTATCTGGGGCGATGGTTGCAGTACAGTCAACACAACAGTAGAATAAGCTTAGATTTGTCCATTACTTAAACAAGTAACCATGACTAAGCAGTGAATGTGTCAATCCACCACACCCAGGCAGTAGATTTAACAAATATTGCATGCATACTATACGCGAGTGTGTGTGGTTGTGTGCATGTCTATATACAGTCCTGATTTAAGCAAAAAGCTGCTACTGTATGAGTGTACAGGAAGGGTGTGTGGGGAAGTCAAAACATTGCGCGCCCATCCTGTTTGGGACAGTCCATGTCCTGTGGTGGTGCCCTTAACTCCTAAACACACACTGACACACACAGAGACAGTGCACCGGTGCACATTCACACTCCGGCTAATCATCCCATATGTGCTAACAGTATGCTGGAGTGCATTGTGAACACATGCAGGAGGCAGAACAGGTGCACACCTGTTACACATTCAAGCGCACACATACACCTACGCAGACTGAAGAGTAAATGAAGATCAAATAAAGATTTGCTTTGTACTAAACATTTACATGCATTAAACCACATTCAAAACAGTGTTGTAATTAGTATGCATTTGATTCTCTGCTATTAGCATTTATGATGGAAAACATTCAAAGAGTCTCAGTGCAAATCCGTTATCATCCTGTTCCACAAAAATCTACTACCTGCAGATCATCGCTCAGTATTTCAAAAGCATGTATGCCCACATCGACACTGATATTGCTAATTTATCTAAAGTCTTTAGTTAGATAATATCTTCAATAATGTGCCTCAATTTGTCTTTTTTAACTGCCAACAACTTAATTTCAATTGCAATAATTATTGCAAATAACTGTGAAAAGAAAAGTGAAGTTTCTCATTCATCATCAGGGTTGTTGTTGTTTTTTGTCCCTAGGAAATTAAAGGAGGAGGCTGCCACAGAAGTGTGTCCATCGTCAGCCGAGACACTAAAGAATGGCATAACATCACACACACTGCTGGTAATTCTCTGTTCTCATACACACTCACACATACACATTTATTCACGCATATAGGAATATAAACCTGTTAGGCAAACTAATATTTATAAAATTTGAATGGAAATTTTCTATACTATTTTCAAGATCTTGTCAAGGTCATGTTACAGTTGAAGATAATTATGCACAACATGGAAATGTAAACTTTTCTCTTGGTTTTTAAAGTTGTTACTCTTGAGCCATGAGTCCCACTCACTATCTGCCTCTCTCCGTTTCTCTGTGCTTTGTACTGATAGAGGATGGATTCTCCGCCAGAGTGTGTGTTGTCTCTTTCTTGTGAGCAGCCCCAGTCTCCCCAAACATTGCCATCCCTCGACCATAGCCCCCAGGCCTCCTCTCCTCATACCCTGCTCTCTCTGCCTGACAGCCCTGTTGTCCTGCCCATTCACAGCCCTGAACCTTCCCCCCAGAGCCTGGAGTCCACACCTTATTTCCCCCTCTCTCCCTTCCCCCTCCACGAGGACAACAACGATCACCACGATGTTGATGAAGAAGACAATGAGGAGGAGCTGGATGGAGGTCCTCCATCTCCAACCCCGGCAGTGGCTCTGTTCCCAGGAGGAGGGGGACAAGAAGCTGGGTGTAGCTCTTGTTTGGATTCCTCTCCACCGGCTACACCATCAGCACCATTCCTTGGATTTGGAGCCCTGGAGCTAGCCCTTTCATCAGGGCAGAGTGGAAACTGCAATGACGAGCTAGACCTCCAGCTGTTCCAGAAGGATACTGTTACCAGGGCGATACCTGGAGTGGGAGGGGCCTCGTCAGGACCTGCGCTCAGGTTTCCCTGTCACGTATGCGGGAAGAGATTCCGATTCCAAAGCATTTTGTCTCTTCATGCACGAGCTCACAGTCTGGACCGAGACCGCCGAGCTTCAGCCCTATACCGTACTGGACTCCCCTCAGCTCCCCTAAAGCAGCACCTCAAAATCCAACAGAACCACAAAGACTTAATCCAGAATCACAGAAGTCACCCAAAACAGCGTTTACTGCCAGCGACTCTCATCCAGCATCTCACAGAAGAAGAGGATGTTGATGGTGAGGTCAAAGGTCTAGATGACGGCCTACAGACAGACCAGAACCCAAACTTTTTACTGGATGACAGCACACCCTTGACGCCTCCACTTACAGAGGACCCTGTTTCTGTAACCTCTCCCTTTTCTTCTGCCATTGTGGAGGGTGCGTCTACTCCCATAGCGCCCACGTTTCGCTGCCATGCCTGCAAAGGAAAATTCCGCACGGCTTCAGAGTTGGCGCGCCATGTCCGTATTCTCCATAACCCGTATAAATGCACTCTTTGTCCTTTCTCTGCCAGCCAAGAAGAGAGCCTGGCTTCTCACTTGCAGGAGTGCCACCCTTCCCCTGAGGTACCTGCTCTGCCACCGGTCTTCAATTCCAGGCCAGTCATTGCAACCCCTGACACTCCGGTGCCCACCCCGACCCATACTCCAGCCCCAACCTCATGTACCCCACAGGTGGCATCAGCGGCTACAGTCAGTCCATCCTCCTCACTGCCAGCATTTCGCTGTGATATTTGTGGACAGCGGTTTACCCAGTCTTGGTTTTTGAAGGGACACATGCGAAAGCACAAGGACTCGTTGGACCATAAATGCCAGGTATGCGGCCGTGGCTTCAAAGAGCCTTGGTTCCTCAAAAACCACATGAAAGTACATCTCAACAAGCTTGGGTTGAAGGCTGGGCTGGGAGCCCTTGGAGGGCCAGGAGTTGCTGAGCAGCAGGCCAAAGGTTCTGTTAGTAATCAGTCTCTAAACGCCCTCTACTCAAGCCTCCTTCTGGCCCAGCGAGGAGGTGGCAGAGGTGGACAAGGAAGATCAGAGAGAGAAACTGGAGGCAGAATTGGGATGGGCTCAAGCAAATCAGCCATCTTGGGCTACCTGGGGTTGCCCAGTGATGGCAGTGGGGCCAGCTGCATGGAGAGACTTCAAGCAGTGGCTCAGGTGGCAGAGATGGGAAACGGTGGTGGTGGCGGCATTGGCGGCTCAGGAGGAGGGGGAGCAACTAGAAGAGGGGGCACAGGTGAAACTACAGCATCAGTTTCAGAAGGAGGGGACCAGGCAACTTGGTGGCAGCTGGTGGCTCGCAGCCTGGCAGTAGCTCAGCAGCAGCAACAGCAGCAGCAGCAGAGACCCCTCCAGCGAGGCCAACAGCAAGGCCAGCGAGGCCCAGGTCGGAGCTCGGTGATCACGGAGGCCGATCAAGTCAGAGCCTACCTTGGAGGCCTGGATCCAAGAGAAGAGTCTGGTGGAGCAGGAGGGCCATGGGAATGCCCAGACTGTGGAAAGCTATTCCGCAGCCTACAGCAGGTGGTGGTTCATGCTCGTGTTCACACTCAGAGGCCCCAGAAAGGAGGTGGGGGTGAAGAGGAGGGCAGTTGTAGTGGTAGAAGAGCGGGGCTTGGAAGGGGAGACAGTGGTGAAGTGAGACAGGAATCTCAGCTACACAGTGGTGGATCCCAACAAACGGGAGAAGTGAGACAGGAATCAAAACTGCACAGTGGTGGTTCACAACAAGCAGGAGCAGCTACAGGGTTTCATTCTGTCATCTCAAGCTTTAAAGGTACAATCACCTCCACTATTTTCTGTTTTATGCTTTGGGTTGTTTTTGTTTGCTCACATGTTATGGTGTTATTATCAATATTTTCATGATACTTTTCTGGTGTAAATAGAAGATCTTGGGGGGCCCTTCACACCAGCTGTTATCTTTACATTTTTCTACCTTTTTCTCCACTTGCAGGCGAAAATGGCTTGACAGCAGTATCCTCCATACCTCCAGTTCCCACCAGGGAGCGAGTGCGTGGTAGAGGGATAAAAGACTGCCCCTACTGTGGTAAAGCCTTCCGTTCTTCACACCATCTCAAAGTGCACCTGAGAGTTCACACAGGTGAGAACTGCTGTGAGTTTAACAAACTACATTTACTTTTTTTAACCTTTATAAATCCCTGGAAAGGTTTCATTGAGCATCCTCACTTTAATAGCACTACCTTTTGTCTTTTTTTACATATTTACCCCAGAGATCTGGCCAGTGCTAATCATAGCCCTTTACTGCAGGCAATTGAGCAGCTCCAGTGGAGCAACTCCTGGTTAAGTGCCTTGCTCGAGGGTATATTAAGAGTAGTTTTTGAGGAAAGATCAAGCCACTCCAGGGATTAAAATCACAGTAAAAAGCTCACTTCTCTCACTAGCCTGTAAAGAAGAAAGGTACAAAAACAATTTTATTTTTTCCCTGTAATTATAGTAGCACTCTTTTTTCTCTAAGTTTATTTGCCTAACTCTAAATTGTGCAAACTGAAAATGGTTTGGCATAGGGTTATTTTTGATAATGTATAATGATTCTTATGTAAACATCACAGCAAGAAGTATATGCTCACAGATTTCTCCACAATAACATTGTTTCCTTTTTAATCTTTCTGAGATTCACATTCATTGACCTTGTCACTGAAGCAAGCCAATCTGTAATTGTTTTCCTTAAATTTACCTCAAATAATTTCTCTGTATAGCACAGACACAGCAAACTCCTGCAGACACTTTCACAACAAGACTCTAACCGGCATTTCCAGGACTTAAAAAAATAACAAAATTTTTTAAAACCCATAATAACTTTCTGGTGACAAGTGAGTAGGACTTTAATGAAAATTGGGAACTCTCACGGCACTCACTCACACCCCATATGATCCATATTCATAACCAGCATGAGTCATTGCCATTTTTTATTATTTGCCTTTGTTTAATGTGTTTGATGAAAATTAAGAAGCCTCTTCTTTCTGAGATGCCACCAATCTCCAGCAACTGGTAACTGGAGCACATCCAAGTCTTTCCAGCAAGACGGTGCCCAGAATGCATTCAATGAAATCTATTTAGTAGTGCCATTATAAATGCTCATTTATGGCTGACAGGTCCTATCACATCACAGCTATATTATTCATGTTAGTGTACAGCTTCTTTTCTCATGCACTATTGCCTCTCTGTGCCATCAAGTGATTACCACTGGTCAGTAAATTAAGTGAAGGCATCCAATTATAATAATATTCTCTTGATATTACAGTTGTCTTGAGACTATTGCCCCTTGAGACTTTTGTCCCATTATTATTTTTTGATTCAGCCACAAAATCAAATTGTTCACACCTTTGCATGTACTTCTGCATTCATCAATAGATCTGCGTTCTTACAGCTGTGTTCTGTTTTATTTTTGTTCTTGTGAATAAGATAATTTACACTTTACATATGTAATACATTTCCTGCTGTTGAAATGCCTCCAGCATGATGCCCCCACCTCTTTATCTTTCCCCACAGTGTAATTTTAATCAGTGATGGAATACTGCCATCTCCCTTTAAAATGTGTAACTACATCTCCCATTCACCACTATTTTAAGGAGCACACCAGTTCCAATTTTTAATAAATGCAAATGTGGAAGTGTTTCAGATTTTTTAAAAGTAATTTTCTGACTTTGCAGGCAGCCATTGTCTTCTATTCTTTTCTATTCACCAAAGTATGGTATAAAACTTAATTAGCAGGGTCTTGAAACTTGCCTGTAATGTGTAATCCATCACACGCAAGGTTAAGATTGTTTTGTTTTTTTGCAATGTAAAATATTGTTAGTTGCTACTTGTTGAAACTCCAATACTATGTTCCCCCATCTTATTTTGTTAATCTTATTTTCCCTAGGTGAGAGACCCTACAAATGCCCCCACTGTGACTATGCAGGTACCCAGTCGGGCTCACTGAAATACCACCTCCAGCGTCACCACAGGGAGCAACGCAATGCCTTAGCAGCCACCTCCAATTCCTCCTCCACTGGTCTCACCTCCACTATCAACAGTCTGACCTCTGGAACCTCTGGGCTGGCCAAGCAGCGCCGATCCCAGCTGAACCATTGCCCGGTTAACCGAGGCTCAACTGACACAGCCACCTCTCGTCCCAGCCAGCAGTCCTGGCTCCTGGGGCTTCCAGACCAGCAGGAGCATCGGAAGGCTTTGGCAGCTCTAAGGGATGTCGACTTGGAGACGCAATACAGGTATCTGTCTGGGGTGATGGGGGCCCTTTACCAAGGTGGAATGGAAGGAGGCTGGATCAGGGAGTCTCCCCCACCAAAGGCCCCTAAAGTGTCCCGTCGTAAACCCCTTACTACTAGCCGAATGGTTCAGCAGTCGAGTGACAAGGAAGTGCCTGCACCTTCAACTCAAGAGGGTGGGTTTGAACCCCTGGATCTTTCCCGTCGCCCCTCACCTGGCCTTGGAGGGATGGAGGAAGATGGAGGCATGGCTGTAGGGGAAGGAGGAGGTATCGGTGGTGGGGATGGCGGAGGGGATAGTTCAACAGGGGTGAAACTCAGCCAGTGTTTGTTCTGCCCTTTCCGTACATCCTCAGGAGAGCTGATGGCCATGCATCTCCAGGTCAACCACACAAGTAAGTCCAGGCGCAAAAGAGGCCCTTCAACTACTTTGGATGATGATGGAATTCCAAAGGCCACCAAGCCCAGGAAGGATAACACTGACCTCGACCCTCTGACAATATGGAGGCATGTGAACGAGGCAGAGTCCCAGGCACCACTGGGGGAATGGTCCTCAACTCAGGCCAAGACTCTGAACGGGCTCTCTGTGGATACTGCAGAACAACTGGATGACATTCTCAACCACCCAGACTCCAACATGGCCTCGGCATCCAAAAATGTAAGAGACGGTCTGGCACTCAAGGGGAAGATGGAGGGGGATGAGGAAGAGCAAGAGGAGGAATTGGAAGAAAATTTGGAGAACAGCAGTCTGGAGGATTCGGAGGACCAGGATCAGAGGATGTCCCTCACTCTTTCACCGGCCCTGAGCGCCAACCACATGGTGGGAGAGGAGGAAAGATTCTTCACAGATTAAAATAATTTTGGATGACACCATTTAAATTGGAACAGTTGGGTCCAATGTTTTTAAGTACAGTTGACACAGAATTGAAGAAGGGGCGGGTAGCTTTGCAGAGAGAAAAGGAGATTAAGGTCAAATAAATATTTGCGCTACGTTATACTTTCATTTCTGGACAGAGGATTCTTGACTCCTGATGTTTTGTGGATGGAAAGAAAAATCACTGCTGTTATGTTTCCTCCGACATTATTCGTCTGCTTCAGTTCTGACAGTGTGGTCATCCATGAAATAAACTTCCTGTACAAAAGAGCAAAGATGCATCTTTTCAGGATTGTAGGCCACTTTTTTATTTTTTTCCCCTAAGCTTCCCTCCAAGATGGATGATTTTTATAAGATGACCTCCTATTTCATAAATGAAAGAAACGTATACTGTAAATGATTCCACATGCAATTATTTCACACTAGTAATGGACTGAATATCCCAGACTACTATACTGACCAAGTTCAAGCCAGCTGTGAAGATGTGCTTTCCTGACTGACCACTGAATAGTTTGAAACTTCAAACTTTAAGTTCCTCCTCAGCCCACACAGATAGGGAGGAAAGTTTAATCGAGAAGTGTTTCAAGCTGTGAACCTCAGCTAAGCTATTTGGTATTAATTTAAGGCATGAGATAACTTGCAGGCCACGTGCTTTTCCTCAACTATATATCACTGCCTTGTTTGTCTGAAAAGTGTTTCTAGATGATTGTCCTAAAGAAAAACTGAAAGAAAAGTTTGTAACTTTTTATTTTAATTTTCAGTTAGTGCCTGTTTGTGTATGTTGTCAAGAGAGTCTCTGTTATTCCTTCACATCGAGGCTCTGTTAGGTCATTAATTTTACCTGAATATACAGTCTAAAACATTTTAAGTACAGTATATTTGTTAAAAGTGGTTCTAGGGTGTTGTGAATAGTTAAAGTTGTACAAGAAATCGCAGCGTGATGTCCTTGACACAGACGGCAGCCGTTTGTTGCTCAGCTTATAAAGAAAAGAAAAAAAAGCAGTTGATATAAATAATGTATAATGTGATAAAAGAGGTCAAAGGCTGAGTGATAAAAAAGGGGCCACAATTCAATATTCAGTGTTTACAATGCTGCCGAATGCGGGTTGGGTTGCCAAGACAATGTAGATGCGTGGAAGAGAACAAAACACAGAGCGGCAGTCTGTTTGAGGGCTGTAGGGACATCGCTCGAGCCCACGAACACAATCAACTGACACACCCTTTTTAAGGAGACAGAGACTTAGCAACTGTGTCAAAAATGGAACAATTTCATTTTTTCAAGGTAGAGAACGCAAAAGAAAGCAGTATCCCTGCCAAACAGGACTAAATCTGAGAAACAAACTGTACTCTCGGGGTATGGTGTCTTCTAGATGAGTAGATTCCCTCTCTTCTTCTTTTTTTACAAGAAAAGAAAAGACAATGGTAGGAGTAATTATTAAAACACTAACAAATGCATAGACATCCCAGTAGAATATGTGTAGCTTTTGTAAAGACAAGACAAAAAAGCAGACTTTTGTTTATTTTAATTTCAAGATGCTTACAGAAAAAGGTTATCACTATAGGTAATATTGATTATAATGTTTGTGAGCTAAGACTAGTTGGAATGTCTATACAGAGCACTGTGCAAGGTTTGAGTTCCCAAAGTAGTTGTTTTCATTTTGACTTTATCAATAGACCAAACGTTTTTCAATGGAAGTTGTCACTTTCTGTTGTTGTTTTAAATGTGTAAAGCTGTGGTTTCAATAGATTAACCCCATCGATTAGCGAAATCGGTCAATCAGTTGACCAGTGTATCAAATACCCAACCATTGAACTGGTTGTTAAAGAAAGTTCAAATTCAAAGTACATATTTTTTGTGTAAACAACAACAACACCGATTGCTATTCATTGAAAACAATCTCTTATCCTGAATTATTGTGTTTAGAAGGTAGATTTAGGAAAAACAATATGATTGTGAGAGAGTAATATCCCCTTACACTGGTTAACAACCACTATTTATCTACTTAGACTTCTTTTTGATGGGGTATTCTATGGTCGCAACCACACAATAATGTGCATTAATGTGTTTAAGTTCTTTTTTTTAGAGCACCTTATGAGTTTTGTAGTGAAAGTCCCTTAGTGGTGTCTCCTTAACAACTACTGTCAATGCCATCGTGCCTTCTGTTTCAAGCACTTCCTGGTGTATTTTGTAAAACTCACCAAAAGCACTTAGCCTATATCTACACACTCTCTCTCTTCCCCTCTGTCTCTGTCCTTCCACTTCCCTCCTTTCTCCTGTTTTATTTTCCTCTGCTCCTTCATCACCTCAGCCCATTTCATTTCCCTAATCCTTTTCCCTTGTCTTTACCTCTTGACCTCTCCCTCCTGGGAGAAGCTGTCTTCACACCAGATTTCTCTCCTACTATTCAGCCTTAAACAAGGTCACTAGGCCACATTACAATCGAGCATGGCTAGAATGGACTATCTAACCTTTAGACAAGTAAAAATCATTATACATTAGTGGTAGGTTTAGACTACATTTGGTCTTAATACTAACCCTTGGTAAACCAAAGCCCAAGTCTAATGAATATTATATTTAATCTCATACGGTGCCAAAACATGTCGGGGGTGACACTAAAACACGTATCACCTTGAGAACCTGAGAAAACAAAATAATTCACCCGTCTTCTCTCTTTCCCTCTCTCTTTTCTCATAGTGTCTTTTATAAACCCCTCTTCCTCCTTTTCTCTCTCTCATGCTTGCTCTTCCTCCACGCCCCTCTCTCGTCCGTAAACTGTCTATCTCTAGCACCACTTGAAGGTGACGTGTACTATCTGGTATTGAGGCCTTTATTAGATTTTTATTTCAGTTTGTGTGGTGTTTGTTCAATGCCGTTGAGATGGAAAAATGCTCTTCTTATAATGATAATTATTATTGTTTTGGCATTATGTTTAAAAAAGCAACAAAAAAACAAGAGAAATGTGTTGTTGAATGTTGTACAGATAGCACTAGAGATGTTGTGTTTTTTAAAGAGAGCACAAACCTGAGTGATGGTCCCTTCTACTCCTCCCAGCGGCAGATGGGAATAAAACAGCCTGCCAATCAGTCTAGATGTCTAATGATAGAAATTTTCTCTGTGATGACAGATTTTCAAAATAAACCCCTTTGTATAAGTAGCGTACTTCTCTGGAGATTTGAATGTAAAAAGGCAGCCTTTGACTCAAACTCCATCCCCAAATTTCTTGCACAAAAAAAAAACCTCTCTGAAAGACTAAAGCAGCACATGAGCCAATATTTTTACTCCTTTGAAGGTATATTTTGATATACCTGAGAAACTGAATGATTTTGCCTACTTACTAAGAATTAGACAAACACATGGGTGCCTTTTTATATGTCCATTAACAGTCTGAAAGTATGTTTAGGAGCAAGTTAAGCCCATTTTAGCTCATTTATGTACATGGGATCAGTAGAAGCTTAACTGAAATCCGAAATACACCTTTACATGTATCCAAAGATGGACAGTTGGCTATCATCTAATACATGAAAATGTATTTATAGAGTTGCTGATTTCGCTTTAATGACGTGAGATTACATCAAACATCTGTTTATGTGTGCCACAGTGGAGGAATATGAAACTTTTGTTTTTGATAAAACAGTTTCCTACTGTACTGCTCCTATTTAGACATCCATTGACATCCATTAATTGAGTAAAGTAAGCGTGAGCTCACTATTCAAACTACCTTCAAAGTTCACAAAATACATGCTAAAGCATCATTGAGTTCATCTGACTCTGAATTAAGTTGATAAAATGGCAAAATTCTCTACAAACCAAACTTTTACATTACTATTTACATTTCCACGTGTTTTCAACTGAATACAATGTGGCTCCCTTGGGATTTTTCAAACGTATGTGAGAATTGCACCTTATTGTCTCCTGATTGTGAATCAGATAATTTCACCAAAAGGATAACACTATAACTTAGTGGGTATCGTACGGGCTGAACATACGTAGACAGTATCTATAGGTATGATCGTTTTGAAGGTGTGTTTTTTAATGAAATGACAAATCTTTGCGAGGTGAGGGGGCCATGCTGGGTTTGGGCTCTTGTGTAGTTTACTGCCATTGCAGTGAGGGAAAACTGATCTAACATAGTAGTGACTAATATGACTTTGTGGACAGATAAAAAAATAAAAATAAAATGCATTAGAAATAAATAAACATAAACAAAATAACCCTGTCTCTCTTTTTCATGTATTTGTACACCAGATACCATTTCTCTTTTAGGTTTTAAATACTCATAACTTCAGGTGGCAAACAAACCATATGATTACATAAATCCCCCGGACAGTCATCTACCCTAAATATTTATATATGTCAAGACAAAAAACATGTACAATGTCTTGTGGCTTTATGTAGAATTGTAGGAATTAAGAGACATTCCCACTTCTCCAAATTCGTTTGTTTCCTTTGTTTCCAGACAGGTTATAGAAATACATAGTTTTAAAGGTTGTAGAAATCGTGAACAACTCAAAAAAGAATTACTGTAATAAGGAGAGAGCATTGTCTGGACATTAAGGGTTGCATGTAATGTAAGACATTTAGCAATTTAAGCTTATTAATAACCATTTCATTAGTATTCTAGAGCAGTGGTCCCCAACCTTTTTTGGCTTGTTTGTGGCTGCTTGAAAAAAGCAATGTGATGAGTGATTTCCTTGCTATGGAACCCAGTCAAAGTTGGGAGCCACTGTTCTACAGTATGAAACAGTTTGGGGACTGACTCAGAAGGTTAAAACTGTGAACTGGCCAATGTTAGAAGGTAGGTTATTGTTCTTGTTGGAGACATGTGACAACTTGATATAAAAGATCTTTCTTTAGGCCATGATCTGGCCCATGTATCATAGTAAACTGGCAAATGTTAACAATAACTATCCATCCATCTTCAACTGCTTATCCGGGGTTCGGTCGCAGGGGCAGAAGCTCAAGGAGGGGACCTCAAACCTCCCTTCCTTGAGCCACATTAACCAGCTCTGACTGGGGGATCCCGTGGCGTCCCAAGGCCAATGAAGAGATATAATCTCTCCAGCTAGTCCTGTGTCTTCCCCAGGGCCTCCTCCCAGCTGGATGTGTCTGGAACACCTCCCTACAGAGATGCCCAGGACTTGTTGTTATGCTTTGCTATGCTATGTTAAAAATGACTGTGTAGTTTGAATGCTTTTCACATAATATTGTCTTGTCTTTTTAACAACAATTTGCAGGTTAAACATAACTCTAACTAAACTATATGTCCGCTACGTACAGAGGTTCAGGGGCCAGGGCGTTTGTATGAAGCTGCTGTTAACACATAGAAGGTCTGGTTTAGTGCCATCTAACCCGTTGTGTCCCTGCACCCGGTGGCCATCCATCCATCTACCTCAGCTATTCTTCCTAAGTGCAACACAAATGTTGCAAATTGTAAACACCACTGCACTTTTGTGAGTGTCTTCAGGCATCAACTAATTAATTAATTCATAATTATCTGTACCTGAAGACAAGGGCACAGAATTAGATGAGGAGATGTCCCGACCAATATCCAGTGACTATTGAATTGTCCCTAGCAATAACAGTGATAAGAAAAAGAAATATAACCACCACTGTTGTCCTCAGTGTTTAACCAATGTATTTGATACACAAACGGCAGGCGCAAATTAGAGAGAGAGAGAATAACATAAATCAAGTAGTCTGACTACACGGAGTAGGGGAGAGGGTATGGTTGTAACACTTTTTGCTTTAGCAACTAAAACTTTACTTTTTTACTACAAGAATATCACAGACCTTGTGAGTTGATGTTAAATACACGGTGTTCCTTTGTTATAACCTACCCCTCATGCTAGGGTAAGTTGTAGCAATAAGACCAAAGAAGCAAAATTAGATGCCAGACCATATGATTTGCTTCAGGCATATTGAAATAAAAGAACAATGTTTTTTCTGTAACAGACTCTGTCTGATTGACTCACACGTGTGTGAGTAGATTTTTCCACTAGAACAAACTTACTTAACAGTATTAAACACTACTAAAAGATACCTAATTAAAGAAAATCTTTGTACATCCTTAAGTTTAACAAAAAAAACGTGTGTGTGTCTCTGTATGTCAATGTGTGTATATTCTTAATCAGAGTCACAGTCAATGCTTGAAGTGAGCCTGTACAAAGTACTTTTACATTTTACTCTTTGGCGTACTGGAACTTTATCTTCAGCCCTTCTCACAAGCTGCCGGTCTGCCCTCTCCACTAGCGGAGACTGATTAAGGAAAAGTTGGGTTACGATACACAAACCAACATGTGAACAACATGTTAATGGGGAGTACTGGTCACAGTGCTGACAAATGAATGCTGGTAACCTTGGAGTGCAGGGTTGTTAGGCCCAGAGACTGTATAGGGCACTCTGTAAAAAATTTTTAAAGAAGTGTTACAACCCACCCCCCCTGCCATAGTTGAACTAGCTGTATTAGCATATGGTTTTGAAATTAGCAGGGGAAAACTGCATCACATGTTGCCTAAGAAACTACATTTTAATCTAATATTAGTCTATTAATGTTATCTGCAATAGTATAGTTACTAAACAAAATATAGCCTAGTTTTGGTCACAAAAATAACTTTCTGACCTCAAAATCAGCCTTTTCTCTCTATATTCTGTTTCCAACATTGACAACCGACATGCCTGATCAGGGAGGAAGTAGGTAAAAACTGAAATGATCTCATAACTCCTACCTTATCTCTAATTGGTGGTGTGGCGTTATTACAACTCTGCCAATGTTACAACTGACCCCCCCGGTCTCCCCCTACCTATCTGGGCCACCGTCTGAAAAACATGATAGTAATCTGAGATTTTGAGAATAAAGTCATAATAGAATAGGTTGCTTCGAGTCATATGTGTATGTGTTTGTATTTCCTGGCTTTTTCCAGTTATTTTAGCCTTGTGTCTAAAATAACAATTTAGTTTTCCCTCCTTTTGTGTCTTTTGATTGGGGAAGTGATGTCTTTAAATGTGCATGTTTGTGCAAATGTGCAAATGTGCATTTTAGACTTGTTTCTAAAATAACAGTTTGGACTGCAGTATGGCATATTTTCTGTGACCGGTAGCTCTGTGTCACTCAAGTCTCTGCATCACTAACCTTTTGCACTGTTTGGGACTGAAGCAGCTGTGAACTGCACTTTACCAGAGGTGGTGAAGTTAATATTTGTGTGGGTTAATATTACAACTTTATTCTTGAAATATCAGAGAACACAGATATGTTGGATAGATTCTGAGTGTGTAGAAAGTTTTGGACACTTACTGAAACACATGAACAATAAAATTCTAGGGGTTTATAACTAAATTAAAATGAGTGAATTTATCAGTGGCATGAAAAGGTGACACATGCACATTTAAAGACATCACTTCCCCAAACAAAAGACACAAAAGGAGGGAAAATTAAATTGTGCCTACCTGTGTTGACTCAGCATGGATAATATTAAATGAGCAAAGTTGATCAACAGGAGAAACATATCTGAAAGCAGCACAGAATTATAGTTTTTATAGTATCAATGCCGCCTGAATTCTGCGTTTCCCTTTGCATACATCAAAACATTTCCACCATAATATTGACGCAGAAGAGGCAGAAATGTGTGCACAGAAAGTCAACAGAAAGCAGGATATGAGGCGTCAAAGTGTTCTCCAATGCTGAAACGAACCCTCTGCCCTTTAGAGATTTTACAGCAGCCTTTCAGTATCTGATGATGTAACAGCGCCCTCCAGTGGAGACACTTAACAGGGTTGAAATAACCAATTTCCCTGGATTAAACTATTAGTTACACTAATAAGATATAATTACATTAATTAAACAACAGAACTACTAATTGAGCAAGTTAAGACACATTTTTTGATTTTGTGTGGCCCACCCATAGACTGTATGGGCTCACCTCAAGAAACGCAGTCCAACCACATTAAAGTCAGCAGAGAGCTGCACAAAACCGGATGTAATTGATTTACCTTTCAAAATAAAATTGAGAACGTTATGGCCTTTGAACTTCAAAAGTAATAGATCTATGAATATGCAATTAACAGTACAAACAGAAGAAAACGACAATATTATTGTAATGCCCAGTTCGTTGTCAAACCATCATGTATTTGTGTTTATGTGCTTTAATAAATTAAATGTAGCCTATTTTGAAAGGAAGTCGTACATTAAGTTAAGCTGACTTTACAAAACTGGGCAGTGGAAAATTTAATCGCTCTACTAATGGACAAACACCAGCACTGTTGCAGGGGGTTTAAGAAAAGGTGCAACCCCTAAAAAGGAAGTCAACCTCCCTCACCTTTTAATTAGTGAAACTATATAGGCCTATATATATATATTCACACATGTCTTTGTAAGCCTATATGAACTAAATAGATACAGAGCGCACAGCAAGGATATTAGCAAAGGAAATAAATAAATATAAAACATTAATTAACACTGTTCCGAGAGAGGCAGTGTTAAATGCTCCAGGGTTAACCTTCTTATTATGTACCTATTAGCCTACATCCCTGTACTAGGGCAATAGTCTGCTCCCTGGTGACTGGTTGAGACTGAGTGGGCGAGACAGCGAGGGGGGGGGGGGGGGGGGGGGGGGGAGAGAGAGAGAGAGAGAGAGAGAGAGAGAGAGATCCCATTGCCCATAAACCGCACCGTTACAGACACTAAAGCTTCCTTCCATCATCTCTACTGGAGGAGAACAGAGCATCACTTCACTTTGTCAGCCCGCCGCTTGACTCGGTCTCGGATCATCTACAGGCAAACAAGACTCTTATAATTTGGCACAGCTTGTCCAACACACACATATACGGCAGCACACTTTTACGGTTTGGCTTCGGTTCTGAAAGCGGCTGAACACGGAGAGAAGACTGTGAAGTCCACTTCTGCTGCAGAACTCTCTTCGCGCACATTTCCAAGATGAGCGAGGTGAGTGCGCGCGTTAAAAGCGTAAATCATGACTGGTGTTAAGACTGGATCAGTTTGGAACAATTGGTGCAGTTCTTTTGAGTTATTTTGCTGCGCTGCAGTCAGTGTTCTTCGCTGTGCGGTAATTTTCTACACCATGCACCTGTATAGCAGACACCCTGTCATTTCACTCCAGCAAGCATGCACAGGCAATGGAAGCTATATAGGGTAATTTTTCCGTCCACAACCTCCAAACCACCATCCCCCCCAAAACCCGCAACCAAGGCGCGGTTA